AGTGGCCACCTACTTTGCAGTCCTTGTGTACTGAAAGCTAACTGTCCTTCCTTCCTTCCTTCCTTCCTTCCTTCCTTCCTTCCTTCCTTCCCCACCCGACTACAGCGAATGTCTGCACAAGAGACCATTCCAGTAATGAACGGTGTCTCCAGCTCAGAAGGCGAAGATTACAACCACTGGTCCGACAGGAAGCCTCCTCAGCCTAAGTCCTTATCCCCACCCCAAACTCAGAAGCAGCTGAGCGACTCTTATTCCAACACGCTTCCCGTGCGCAAAAGTGTCATGCCGAAAAACAGCTACGCAACCAGTAAGTCAGTCAATCTCTCTCTCTCTCTCTCTCTCTCTCTCTCTCTCTTGAGTTTACTGGCATGTTCTGTATTCTGTATATTTGTATTATTTCCAGGGCTCTGCATTTTGATGTTTGGAATGTTTGCTGTAAGCCGCTTTGGGCACAGCTCATTGTGCAGAAAGAGGCATATGAGTAAATCCAGCCATCATTCTCTCAGCAGGCAGGTGGATATTTAGACAACCTTGCAGCAAATTCTCACCTTTTCTTTTTTCTATTTTTTGGAGTGAACCATCCTTCTGATGCTGGGTGGAATAGCCGCTGGTGTTTTCGCAGCATCAGTGAAGTGGGAGAAGGGGCATCGAAACACATGGAGGAGGGTGGCACAAAACTCTCTCACCTGGATTCCCTTCTGCCCCATCACCTACAGGACAATAGCGCTAAGATCAGAGCTAAGTCCCTGCCTGTTGCCTTTTGCTGTCAAAAGAGCAGGCAGAGGCTTAGTGCTTAGATCACAGTTAAAAGATTCCTGTGCCTGATGTCACCTGACATCAGGTGACTAGCAAGTGGGCATGGTTTGCCCAAAATGGACTTGTGGGGCAAATGCAGAGGCTTGGCAGGTCTTAATTAGACACACAGCCTGGACGTTCTCAACTGTAGCTCCAAACGGTTCTAGCACTCTGCCCATTTCTGTATAATTTTAGAAGAAAAGAGCCATATAGGGATAGCATATTTTTTGCAGTAATGTTCATAACAACAGGTACAAGCTAGACTCCCGTATCTGCTGCTGCTTGGTTGTAACAGTGGATGAGTAATCTCTCTCTGCAGGGTAAGGCGAAGTTCATGGCACTGGGCAAGAGTGATGGGCTACCCTACTGTGTCGCCACTGCTCCTTTCTGTGCCATGACACACAGGCATATACCTTAAAGCTTATTTAATATTTGTTTTAACAAGGAGATTGCTCAGTGCTCCATGTCCATGTGGGTATTCCATGCCAGGAAACTCACCCAGCCTTACTTTCCCCTCCTGTCCCCGCTCCTTCGCTGCCATTCACAAGCAGGAGGGAAAGGTTTAGGGTGATGAATGAAACTTCGGGTGCAATAGGGAGCTTTGTTTTGCACAGCAAAAACAAAAATAATAGTGGGGTGTTGGGAAAGTCGCCTTGACCCCAAAGCCTGCAAAATAAGGAATCTAATGGGAGAGTGGTCCATTAAGTGGCCGATATTAAGAATTTGCTCAAGGCCATGTGTCACAATTATGAGGGATGCAGATTAAAACATTGGGGTTTTTTCTTGCACACCTGCATTACTGTACTTGTGTTGCCAACAGTGAAGTAAGAGGTTTTATGAGTATGTATGAGTAATATGTTAGTTAGGTGGTACTGGTGGCTTGGGAAGCAAATCACTCAACGCTGTTCCATTTAGGAGGGCTTGTTCACAAGATGTCTCCCATAGATCACAGCCTCGCTCTTTTGTTGTTAGCTCATTCCTTGGAAACTCGCTCTTACAGAGGGACTGCAGGACTGCATTCAGTAAATTTACTGATACCATCTATCCTTATTTTTCATTAAAAACAAAACTTGTTTGTTAGAAGAATTTTCTTCCGCAATGGAAACAGTTCCTCCAAACCAGCACAGAAAACAATGTAAAACCTGTTCTTTGTTAACCTTTTGCGTTGAGATGGCACCCGGCATTTTAAAGTAAAAAGAATGGGCAACATTGTCAAGCCTTTGAGTTTTCTTCACGTTGAGGGTTCAGGTGGCAGGGGTTAGTGGAGGGGTGGCGCTTACCTGACCTCTTGTCACCGAAGTCTCTGTGGCTTACCAGGACAGAATTGGGAGGGGAGAGGCAATAGCGAGGTCAGCAGGGTGCAAATGCGTTGGGGAAGCCAATCCAGTGCTCCCCCCAGTGCCCTTGCAACACACTGACCTCCCCACTGCCTTCCCCTTCTTGTAAGCCACAGCAAAGCTGGCGATGGGTGGTCAAGTAAATGCCCCTTGCCACACCAGCCACTGCTCAGGGTAGACCAGCTTATGAAATCCTCTCCAGGGCGAGAGCCAGTCCTGATATTCCAGGATGAGAGTTCCAGTCCTGCGAGCCAGCTTTGTTAATCCTTTTCTTTTCCCACGCCAGCTGAAAACAAGACTCTGCCCCGTTCCAGCTCCATGGCAGCAGGGCTGGAAAAGAACGGCCGGACAAGAGTACGAGCCATCTTCTCTCATGCTGCCGGGGATAACACCACCTTGCTGAGTTTCAAGGAAGGAGACCTCATTACGTTGCTAGTGCCTGAGGCCAGAGACGGGTGGCACTACGGAGAGAGCGAGAAGACAAAATTGTGAGTGCGGTTGCTTCTGAGTCTTGAGAATGGGGGGGGGCCCTCCCTCTTAAAGCTGTTCATTTGACATCATCTTCTTTATCCGAGTACCTGGAGGCAGTACTTCTGCCTTGCCCCTCTTGCACTCAGGTGTCTCGGCTTCTGAACATTCACACACATAGCATAGCCCAGATCAAAGCTGGGATGATGGCGTCTGTGTTGTTGGTCCAGTATCTTATAAGAAGGTAGGGTCAGAAGGCCAAGCACGAAAAGTTCCAAAACTGTGCAAGCCAGTATTTATTGGGGGGGGAAACAGTGTATTTTGTGCATGGGGCTCTTCTTCACACTCTCCTCCTTCGAAACACATCTTGACTTTCCAGTAAATCGGGGTGGGTAAGCATTTTTTGGGCCCAACTCTCTTGAGAGCCACAGGACAGCAGTGGATGTGGCCAAAAGTGGTCCATTCCCCATGCATGGACGTACATCCCAGTCACCCCTTCTCTGGTATACTGTAGTGCTGGAGCAGAGAATGGGGGTTTATTCCCTATTGCCCCCCCTGTGCTGCAGCCCTCTAGTGGCGAAGGGGCATTAGGAATAATAATCAACTACAGTAATACCTCCGCGAACGTCCGCCTTGACTAGTGTCCATTCCGGTGAACGTCCGTGGCAAACCTGGAAGTACTGGAATGGGTTTCTTCCGGGTTTGCCGCTCACGCATGCGCAGAAGCGCAAACCTGCCCTGCGTCCTTTTCGGCTAGCGGCCGGGGCTCCGGAACAGATCCTGGCCGCAAAACAAGGTATGACTGTAGTGGGGAAACGGATAATCAGATCAGTCTTCTGATGAGCAGGGGGAGGCCTGCATCTTCTTAATGGCGCTAAACTGGGCAGAGAAGTTGAAACCTAGCACCATGATGACAATGAAAGTTGCTTGATGCTCTGATCTGATTATCTGGTGTGTTTTTTTAACTCCCCGAGGTAACCAAACTGGGCCAGGGGGCTGGATGAGGCATGCAAGTTCACCACTCCTGGCAGTAAATGATGCCTATGACCATTTTGGAAAATATCCTTTACACTTTTTATCTTGTGTGTTGCACTGTGGTTGGAGTTTGGTGTGCCAACGTGCGGAGTGCATAATGAACAGCTCTGCCCTCTGCTTTGAAGCTCCCACACTGTGGAAGGAAGAAGTCTTAACCGGTGTTAAGCATGCCAAAGGGAAGTTAAAAGGAATGGCAGAAATTGCAGGCCTTTTCACTCCTAGAGTGTCTGTGGCATAACATAGAACAAAAGCTGTTGCTGGGTTAGACTGCTACAGCAGGGCTCACTTTTTTGCACAATATGTTTGCTAAGGAGTAGAGGAGAGCTTGTTGCTTGGCAACGGTTGTGTAGGTAGGTAAGCTCCTCCACAATCCTGGAGTGTTTGTGAGCTCTCACATAACCAGGATCTTGAGTCTTAAAAGGTCCTAAATCTGGAGCTACAGCGTTCTCCAGTATTTCTCCCAGCAATTACCATTCTTTCCAGGGGGTCTGGGAAGAACTGAATCTCTAATCGCAAGATTCAGGTGGCCTGATAAGCAGAATTGGGGCTTGAAGCCTTTAAGGTCAAAGGAGAGTTCGCTGACATGCACTTGAGTTAATAATTTAGCCCAAATGGATGCCCACACGGTGAGAGGTGATACTGGCAATAGGGGCAGTTTGGCTGGTGAGCCTCTACAGCAGGGATGGGTAATGTTTATTCGTTGAAGGGCCACATTTACCCTTTGACAACCCTTCAGGGGCCACATGTCAGTGGTGGGTGTTGGATGCTGATCAGTTGAGGAAGGGGAGTTACTGCTGCTCCTTTTTCATTTGGTGTTGATCTCATGACTGCATCCTGCCATCCCCACTCACCTATCAAAAATACAGAACATGCCACAAGAAAGTGTCCAAAATTACTTGGTTCGGAAAACATGGTTTGGAATTTGAGGCTCATACAAAATGTACAAGAGCCTTGAACCTGGGCAAATTCGACTGAGGGAGGTAGGCTGCCCAGTGCTGTGATTGTAGCAGTTTTAAGTGGGGGTTCCCCCCCCCCCCAGTGTAAGAGAGAGAAATGACTTTTAACTCCTCCTTCTGTTAATCTGTACCATAGGAGAGGCTGGTTTCCTTTCTCCTACACACGTGTGCTGGACAGTGATGGGAGCGAAAGGTTGCACATGAGGTAAGAAGGTTCTGCTGGCTTCCACAGAAACATGTGGCGTTTGAATGACGTTTGTATTTATAGAGATCAGCCCCGCCCATGCTGAGCCAGAATCCGTACCTGTCTTGCATTGCCCTCTTTCTGGCTCCTCTTTTGTCAGTAACCAGCCGTACCTGCTTCAAGTTTGTCAAACCAGTATGGCAGGCTTTGCTGCCAAAATATTTGGTGTCTGTCTGCCTCTCTCTCTCTCTCTCTCTCTCTCTGTGTGTGTGTGTGTGTGTGAGAGAGAGAGAGAGAGAGAGAGAGAGAGAGAGAGAGAGAGAGAGAAGGAACAGCCCAAAGCAAATATACTTTTGATGGAACGACTCCTATCGCAATGTTTTGTTAGTGATAAACACAATGGGCACGGATGACTAAAATTGAAAGAACCCAGGCCTGGGTGTGGGGGAAACGATTCCTTGAAATAATGAAGAAAAATCTGCATAAGTAGATGCTATGGCATCTAGAGAGAGAGAGATTTGCTGGGCTTGTAAGTCAGCATTGATTCCTCAGTTGAAAGTGAGGAAGGGGTCATTTCAATGAAAGCATTCAGATGATTTACTTATTTGTTTTATTTAAGATGTTTCTATACCCCACCCTTTGGTTAAAAAAAAAAAAAAGAAAGCTCACAGAGAAGCTTACAGAAGTCAATACGAAGCTGGTCCCTGCTCCTGGGTTTGCAGTCTCGAAACGCACGACACTAGAGGAAAAATGAATGGCAGGGAGGAGGGTGAAAACAAGCTCAAGCACGATTCCTTTAGTGCACTCACACTGTTCTGTCTATGCAATTTCTGGCGGTCTAGAAGACAGAGAGAGGGAGGCCTATATCCTAATCAAATAACAGTGGCAGTTCTCACTGTCTTGCCCTTGATAAAGAGCAGTCCCTCCCTGGAAGCAGCTTTTGCTCTCCCCCCCCCCGCCCCCCCTGGTCATATTCAGGAGCAGAGCAGGGAACAATATCCAGGCCAAGAGGGACAAGGTGGCTCCTGTCACACAATTCTTCCCTCAAGTCATCTGACAGTTGGAAAATTTCCAGGAGGGGACTTGATGGATTTATCTCCCTCCCTTGCCAATTTCAGTTGTAGCTGCCTTGCCCTCCCTTGAAGTCCTCTTCTCCCCTCACGCCAGATCAAATTCAGGATCATAGCTGGTGACAGGCCAGGAGCACAAAATAACTCATTTCCTCAGGCAGTGGACTTAATGGCAGTTAGACATGTTAGTAATTGGCTTCTCTGGCCATCCTCAGGTAAGACGGGCATGAAGAGAGCAAGTTGGTGGCTTAAGTGCTGGGAAAGTACTCCTAGCAAAAATTCTGTGAAGTAGGAAATGTTGTTGTAATCATTGCCATCAATTTATTTATATCCCGCCTTTTCCTCTGACGGGACTCAAGCCGGCTTACATATAAAAATGAGAAGTGATAAAAACATAGAAAGCCAATTTTCCTACGTTTGCTAAGCAAATTTTATCTATTTCTTCAGCCAAGGGAAAAGCAGTAGCACAGGAAACCTGCTGGACAAAGATGACATCCCCCCTCCAGATTACAGCATGTCTTCCCGAGCTTTCCAGTCACAGAACGTCAACACCTTCAAACAGAGGCCGTACAGTGTGGCAGTGCCTGCTTTTGCCCAGGTAAGGAACCTTACTGGGAGGGGAGAGGTGCTGTCTGTTGGTGGATGAAACCTGCCTTAACTGCCTGCAGCAAATTTGAATTTTCAGAGCATGAAAGTTCTGCTTTTGACAGCGGCATTTTATTTTCCTGATGTCAAACTGCTGCTTTTCTTTTTTTCAAAGAAAGCTTATTGTTACATCTAGAGCAGGGTTTCCCCAAACGTGGGTCTCCAACTGTTCTTGGACTACAACTCCCATCATCCCTAGGTAGCGGGAGCAGTGGTCATGGATGGTGGGAACGGCCTGAGATTGGGCTGTGAGTGTTAAAAGTTGCTTTTCTACTTCACAGCTCTGAGCAAAGAGCTTGCAGCTTCTGTCTAGACCCGGGGTGCAAATGTTGGCGGACTACAACTCCCATTGTTCCTGGCTCTGCTGGGAGCTGGAGTCCAGCAACATCTGGAGGGCCCACAGGCTCCCCACGCCTGTTCCACTGGCTGGCTAGAAGTTCCAGCATGCATGAGAGGGTTCCAAAACTGAGAGAGAACCTGCAAGATGTGTGGGCCTGTGGTTGGGAGAACTAAGCTGCCTCACCTAGGCAAGAAAGCTGAAAGCACCTATATGCCAGGGTGGTTTTAACTGAGCAGCACTAGCAATATCTGTTTAGGTTTATTCCTCCCAGTGGGGACAGAGGAGTAATGGTGGATGGATTTTACTGGGGGTGTGAATTATTTGCATTTTGTGGAATGTTCACTGGGCTGTATGCAACAAGATATCCAAGCCCTCCCTCCCAACCTTTCGGGATATATTCATTTGGGTTTCTCCCCACCCCCACTTTTCCTGTTGCCTATAAAGTATTTGGAGACTTATCCAGAGTAGAATGCTGGGAGGCAGTCAAGCCACTCTCTCTCGATGCAGACTCTAGTTTCTTGCATGTGCCGCACCTGCAGAAAATGAAGTTGCCCTTGTTTTCTGTAGCCAAGCAGCAGCAGCAGAGCTGGGCCCAAAGCACAGAGCTGCGTCTGCGCCTTGGGTGGATGGGAGGTCGTTTTGCTAAAAGGCGTCCTGGTTGAGGCACTGCTGAAGTGAACATTCTCCAAGTGTCTGTTTTCTAACCTAGGTCTTTTTACGAGCAGGTGAGGCTTAACTTGCCAACAGGTGCTTATGTTCATTATTTGTAGGAGTACGTTATGCCCTACGGTTGTGCAATTAATGAATATTCCAATGGCCTCTGCCAACTGCTACCTGCCTCCTACCAGCCTTATCCTAGGTCAACAGCCGTAAGTCCCAAGAACGCAATGTTTCCATTGGGGTTTCTGGGGCCTGTTTTCTGCCTGTTGCGTCTTTGTGGCTTACCCAACCTGGGTAATCCTGCCCCCTCTCTCCTTCCCATCCGCATTCTTCCAAAAGAATGCATTTTTGGGGAAGTGGAATGAATCAGAAGGAGAAGCATGAACAGAAACTATGGAGAATAAATGAACCCATTGGGAAATTATTGATGGGTGAGGCACAAAGAGTGGCAGTAAAACAGCAACGCAAATACCCAACTGGTAACATTTGGCCGTTCTATGAGTGTCTACTGCTAGAAATGGGTTGCTCACCCGTCAACAAAGCTTATTTTTCCCCCCTTTCAGGTTTTCAAATCATAGAGAACAGGTAGCTAACATGGTGTCCTCCAATTGACTAGTTGAGCAGCTGTGCTGCTGTTTGGTTGAGTCTAGCCTTCTTGACTCTTGAGCCACAGCAGTTGCCATTGTAGTGCCCTGCAGAAGGAGCTTGATTGCCAAACTTTGGCCATGTGGACTGGGGCTGATGTGAGTCCCAGCAACTACATCGTTCCCCTGGCACAAGTGAGCCTGGCAGACTCGACTCAACCAAATAAGACTAGTTGTTAAGTAAAAAGGTTGAGGGGATGGATGGAAGGATGCAGATAAAATCAACCAAGGTGACTGGAAAGCAAAAGGAGGCTCACTAGTTGGAAAACGTTTGCTGCTGAAGCCAGTATTTTGCAAAAGGTGTACTATTGTTCTGAGCTGCTTTGAGCTCAACTTTGTTGTTAGTAAAGCAGGATACAAATATTAAATCAAAGGCAGATAATTGGGGATGATTATTGCTGTCTAAAGTATTTATAGCTGGGACAAAACAGCAGTATTTTGGTTATAGAAGAAGCTAGGGCAGTGGAACCGACAAAACTGCAAGTTTTAACTGAGCATAACTGTGATAAGATTAAATTACAAAATAATGGTAGTTTTGTTATTTTTCCGGAACAGGAAAATTGTTTGGTTTCTTAAATGACTGGTTCTGAGGCTTTGACTTGGAAGCCTCCTTTCCCACAATGCCAGCCCAATTGCAGATAGATGAAGGTTTGTTAGTTATTACTGCCAATAGGTTCTATGGCGAATGACCCTTAGTGAGACTTGGCTTGGGTTAAGAGCTAAGCATGGAGTTTAAACTTGATTGAGTGTTGCCCCAGCATTTATGCTACAGACCGTCAGCCCTGAGCAGCTGAAAATTGCTGCCTGGTGGGAACCTTGATATTTTTGTCCAGAATAGTAAGTGGTATTTTTAAGTAAGGAGAAGGAGGAAGTGACTGGAGTTTCCCAAGGAACATTCATAGTCCTGCATTTGGCAAGCATAGCCCACAGGATTTGAGCAGGGCTGGGTGTCTTCAAAATGTAAGGCACACACATGCCTGCTGGAGCTCTCCAAGCTCACAATTTCCCCCTTAAATGTTGATGGGACTTTGAAGTGCATCACATCCAGGCTTGTGATTTGACTTCTCCTGGGACCCATTCGAGCAGGAAAAATAAGTGTCCGTCGTTTTCTTTATATGTACCCATCGGAGCATGGGGATGAAGGAGGCAGGCTGCATTTCTCTGTGTGCTGCTGCTTCTGTTTCATCCATCTCGCTGATGCTTGGAAGCCATTGCTTTGGCATTTTCTTTTGAAGACAATCCTCAAAAGAGATGAGACTATGCAGAGTCCTGTGCTTGCTTCCACCAGACATTGCAATGCCACCAACCTGCTTTTTCCACAGGGTGTTTTTGCAACAGCCCAGCAGCAGCAGCCTGCACTGCAACTAAAAGTTAAGAGACCTCTTCTGTCCCAAGTCAAAGCTGAAATGTCAGAGCTCAGTTTTTATCCTTCTCCATCTACAGCTTTTGCTACCCAAAGTCATATTCTGGTGAAAGGGACGTAACCCCTTACCATTCACTCTATGGCTTTGGTAGCTAAATCCTTCCTGAGACCCAAACACTTTGACTCTGCGCCAGAAAACGGTTGATTGTCAGTGTTGCTTTTATTTTTCTTCCATTGCTGTATTTTGGCAAATGTGGTTTCTTCTGCTGACTGACACCCTTGCTTTCTTTTTGTTCTCATCCACAGGGACTGGATGACTATGGAGCAAGACCCTCAAGCAGGTAAGAGGCTTGGACTTTTGAACCCATCGTAGATACATAAAAACACACACAGACACACACACACAAGGGAGACAGCAGTATCCCTGGACTGCATACAACCACTTCCCCAAGCAGGCACAATCATTTGGCGCACTCTGAAAACAGCAATTTCCAGGGCTTAACAGCCACCTGCCTTTAAGTGCAGGATACAAGGAGTTTAGGTTTTGATTTGTTTACATTTATTTTATCCCTTCTTCTGCCTGGAACCCAGCACGTGCATGGATACCAGGTGG